ATATATAGTATATATTTAATAATATATATATATATATATAAAGGTCCTCCAGGCACTGTTAGAAAATATGACAGGCACTGAACCAAGGAAAGAGGGAACATCAGGGCCTAGGTCTCCCTGGCTCTCTACCAAAAAGTATCCATCACCATGAAACTAGTGTCTCCAAAGTTTCAAGTCTACTTTTCACAGTTTATCTAATTTTACTCTTTCTTCTTGGCCTATGCTCCAGACAAAGTGGACTCCCCTTTCTTGTAATATCCTTCCTTCCTCTCCACGCATCCAAACTCTGCCTGTTCTTCAAGGCTTCAAATGACTTATCTATTTTCCCCACCCCTTCTCCCAAACGAGAAACCACCTCAGCCTACTATGAAAATCCACAGTACTTTGTCTGTATCCCTCTTAAGGAATTTACCATGTTCTTCCTTATATTGTAGTTGTGCCTCCCCTATTAAAAGATAGGAACAGCATCTTTTATCCTGTATAAAGAGCCTTCTCACATATCCCTTATCTCATCTGAGTGAAAAATGGATCCTATCCATACTGACCCAATCAGACATTGGTCTCTTGCTAGACAATAGCCTCACCTGACCCCTTTAAATGGCATCTCATCCATCCACATCCAGCTCTGAGCAATACACACATCAGCGGCTACCCAAATGCCTTCCTCAGAAGTTCTCAACTTCAGGGTTCCAACATACTGGCTGGGTTTGGTGTAAAATGTCCAAAGTAATTTCTCACTATTAATGAAGTACCAATTAAATAATTTACAAATGTAGAGCACTCAGAATAGAGTCCAGCTCACAGTAAGCACTATATAGGTGTTGGGCATTATTAACACTGAAATTTTAGGATTTATGAGATGGGTGTAGCGGATGCTTTTGGTGCTCTGTACACACCCACGGCCCACTTCTGATTTCAGTGGCAGCTGCGGGAGACAGTGATGTGCAGGCTGATAGCATCTCTCCTCCAGAACCCTGTAGGTCTCCTTGCTTTTCTGCCCCAGAGCCTCCTCTTGTCACAAGCTCGCTCAAGCCATGAGCTAGACAGCCAGGAAGTACAGGCACATTCGCGGGCATTAACTTTCATCTGATGAATTATCTGCTTCCCCTTCCTACATTGTTACAACCTCTACCATTATCCAGGGGAAGATAACAAAACTCCTAATTACAGCTTGATCGGTTAACATCCCACTCCCTGGCACCTTTAACACTTTCCCGTGGAACTTAATTTAAGGCCATCTGCCTTTACTCTTCTGATCTTCCGTCTCTGAGCCCATTAGCACGTTTTCAGAGGGCAACAATGGGCTGGGGTGGAAAAAAGAAATGACAAAGTCATAGGTCACACTGCCAAGAAAGATGAAAAGGGAGTGGAGAAACCTTGAGACTCGGCCTTTTTTTCCCGCCCTAGGCTCTCAGCGGAGTTAAATCGGCCTTCATAGGTGACTATGTAGTACCTCAAGCCACCGACACGGCAGAAGCGGACTCAGGGGCCGACACTGCGCAGGCGCAGGGCGGGGGCTAGGGTTTCCTCAGTTCACTCAACTACTTCTCTTCTACACAAGGGCCATAGGGACAGCACAGTACCCTGCGCAAGGAGCCTTCCTTCTGTGCACCCCAATTCCTCGTGAGGCCCTCAGACCGGCCAGGAAACGTCTGGGAAACCACCTTCTAAGGTCGTCGGGCCGCCCCTCACTCCGCGCCCAGGGCCCGGCCGAACCTGGAAAGCCGGTGCCAGCTGCTGGCGAGGCGCCAAGACAGGAAGGGCCGCCAGGCATGGTCGGATTCGGCCCTTCTCACCACCGTTCTCACCTCTTTGTCCGCTGCTTTCTCCTCGATACCTAGCAGGGCGTACAGGTCCATCTGTAAGAGCTCCTTGGTCACCGCCATGGTTCCAATCCTGACTGGATTCGTACTACAACTCCCAAGAGTCTAAGCGTGCGTAGGGATTCCCAGGGACTGTTGTCGCCAGCGAGCTGAATGGCGCTTAGCCCCTTGGGAAATGTCGTGTTCTGGATCAGGCTTGACTGTCTATGAGGGAAGCGAGCAAGTGAATGAACTACGCCTCCCAGCAGCCCCCGCGTCTTCCGCTACCGCTCTCCGGTTGATGTAGGCGATCGCGATTCTCCCGCCGGAGGCCGCAGCTAGCCAGCGCGGGAGGGTGTAGGGGTGGGGGCGGGGGCGGGGCTTAGTGAAGGTCCGAGGGTGTCCGGGACCCGGCAAGCGTGATCTCAGCTCTGTGGACCTTGCGGCGCTGCGCCGGCCACCAGAATGGAGAGTAGGTGCTACGGCTGCGCTGTCAAGTTTACCCTCTTCAAAAAGGAGGCGAGTCTTCTCCCCGCGGGCTAGAAGGTCAGGGAGGACGCGGAGTGGAGGAAAAGCCCTGGACTTGAAGTCCGTAGACTTGGTTTTACCAGCTGTGTTGGTTTTGTTGAAGTCACTGAACTTCAGTTTCCATTTCTGTGAAATGGGGCTAACTCTCCCTCGCTTTCGGGGTTAGCATGAGGGTCCAGAGAGGTGCTGGAGGTGAAAGTCCCTGTAACTATACAGCACGCTCCTATCTTTTCTAGAAAGGTAGGCTTTTCTGTCCACTAAGTGAAGGATACAGCTGGTTCCTTCCCTCCACTTTGCTCCTCCGCAGCGCAGTCTTGGTTAATGCCCTGTGACCACTCTCTATCACACCATGTCCTTTGCTCTGAAACCTTCACCATCATGCAGCCTGCCCTTCCCAGGTTTCTTGAGTTAGATTACCGCCCTTCCTCCTGCTCCCAAGGCACCGTGGCAAAGTCTTTTGTCCTCTGCACAAGGCCCCAAATTCTTCTGGTAAACTGTAGGCTTCCTCTGATCAGTTGTGACTAGGAGATAGGAACCAGATTGGATGAATGAATAGCTATGGAGGCAGATCCGTGTAGCACTTAGAAACCTGGGTTTTGGAACCCGGGTGGTCAGGGTTCAAATTTGACCTCTGCAGTCTTATTCATGGAATTACCTTGGTTTGGGCAAGTCATGTAACCTCTCTGACCCCATCTAAGATAGGAATAATAATGGTGGTCATCAGGATTAAGTAGAGTAGTGTGTATAAATTGTGAGGATTAAATCACATGACGAATGTTAAATGCTGAGCTTAGTGCCTGGCACACAGTAAGTGCTTAATAAATGGAGGCTATTGTTATCCCTGAAGCCAAGCCACCCTCCATCTCTACTAGAGCACAGAAGACAGGGGCTCTGCACTCTCTCTGGTTCTCCTTTGTTGAAGAGCCCATGACCTGCAGCATGAGGTTTTGCCTATTTGTTTTCTACACCCCGGTGCCATTGAATTGAAGTCAGGATAGAAAGCATGGGAATTTTACGTAAAGCTCTACTTGGTTTGAATAAAAGACTGGAGACTGAGGAATTGCTTTACCCTCCACCCCTCTCTCTCCCCAGGCCCTAGGGGCCCCATTTCTCATCCTCCTCCCCGCAGCTGGTCAAAACTTCAGTGTCTTCTCTGTGTGTGTGCTTGGAGAGTCCCAGGGAGGAGACTGCAGGGGCGGGTGAGAGATGGATCCCCCTACTTCATGTTTCTTGTAGTACGGCTGTAAGAATTGTGGCCGGGCCTTCTGTTCTGGCTGCCTTAGCTTCAGTGCAGTGGTGCCCCGGACTGGGAATACCCAACAGAAGGTCTGCAAGGAGTGCCACGAAGTCCTGACCAGGTGAGAAGCTGACATGGGCAAGGGTTTAGCCAAGCATGGTACCAGGTAGCTGGCCAGCCCACACAGCTTTGTGCTCTGTGGCTAGAGGTCAGCTCAGGAAGTGTTTGGGGGAGAGGTACTGACTGGCAGATAAGGGGACTTCTGATGCCAGATTTCTTCTCTATAGAGGATCGTCTCCTGTCAATGCCTCCAAGTGGTCACCACCTCAGAACTATAAGAAGTAAGTGCTAAAGGGACAGAGACAAATAGGGGTGGGGAAAAGACAAAGGAGCCATTGAGTAGGACTCTCTTCCCAGCCTCTAGATCAAATGAGCACAGGGTCAGGAGAATATCTCTCAGCCTCCTGACTGCCTTCTTGGGCTCAGAAAGCAGCTCATCAGCCTCTCCCCAGAAACGGTTCTTGGTAGATCTTGCCCTCTAAGCCAGACCCTCTGTTTGGTCAGCTGGATTGGGCTACAGAGGGATATGAATGAGAACCATAGACTATTGTCTATTGGAGGCCTCCCTGGATGCCTAGAAATGATTTGAATGGGAAACGGTGAGTGGGTGCCTTCACCCCTCCCTTCTACATTCTTCAAGAACCTTATCTCATACCCTGCCAGGCGTGTGGCAGCCTTGGAAGCCAAGCAGAAGCCCAGCACTCCCCAGAGCCGGGGACTAACCCAACAAGACCAAGTCATCGCTGAGCGCCTAGCACGGCTCCGCCAGCAGAACAAGCCCAGTGAGTGGGGGCACACAGGGTGATCTAAAACATACCATCCAGACTTCCTGGGACTAGGATTCCTCTGGATCTTACAAGGCTTTCCCATACCAATTTCAGAGTCAGTGGCCTCACAGGCAGAGATAGAAGCCAGGCTAGCTGCACTGAGGAAGGAAACCCAGGGTTCCATCCCTTCCACCCAAGAGATGGAGGCACGGCTTGCTGCACTGCAGGGCAGAGTTCCGCCGTCTCAGACCTCCCAGGTGGTGAGTGCTCAGGGGTCAGGGGTCCTAGGACAAGGACCTAGATACATGTATGCCTATGTACTTTGCAGGAGTTGGCAAAACCTCCCACCCTCACCTCTTGATTCTCAGGCCTGCTGCCAGGCCAAGGATCCAGGGACAAGCAGCAGGATGGGGTGGGGCAGGAAAGAGTGGCCAGATCTACTCGATTATGTGAGCCCTGGATTAGTCAGTCCCCTTTCCAAGAGCTTTGGAAACTCTTCAGCATCCACCCGTAACCTAGACTTCGCTGAGCCTTACGGTGTTGCTTCCCCGCTACCCTACTCCTCACTGAAGTTCCCTCCTGTGAACAGGCACATCAGCCACCAGACACAAGGACCCAGGCCCAGCAGGCGCAGGATCTGCTGACACAGCTGGCAGCAGAGGTGGCTATTGATGAGAACTTGGAACGAGGAGACCCAGGTAACTTCTCCACCTGGATCCCCCAGGGACCCCCCCCCCCCCCCCGCCCCGGCTCTTTCCCCAAGTAGGAAGGTCTCTGCTGCCCACCCTCTGGGATGCAAATATGAATCAGAGAACAATCAACATTATAAGCTTTAGATGGGTTTACCCCAACAGGAGCCAGTGTATTACTAGTGGATAAGTGTGTAGGCTTTAGAATCAGACAGCGATATCTAATTTTTTTTTTTAATTTGAGAGAGAGAGAGAGCACGTGAGTTGGGGAGAGCAGCTGAGGGGAGAGAGAGAGAGAGAAAGAGAATCTTAAGCAGGCTCCACACTCAGCCTGGAGCCCAACACAGGGCTCAATCCCATGACCCTGGGATCATGATCTGAATAGAAATCAAGAGTTGGATGTTCAGTGGACTGAGCCACCCAGATGCTCCCAGACAGCAATTTCTTATTCTACCACTTAAACTAGCTATGTGACCCTGGGAAAGTTACTTAACCGAAGTCTCACTTTCCTCATCTGTAAAATGGAGGTATGATAGAACCCACCTCACGGGGAAGTTACGAGAAGTAAATGAGATTAATAAACAATTAAGACCCTGCCGGGTTCATAGTAAGTGTTCAGTGAATGTTCATTGCAATGATGATGATGATGATAAGGATGAGGAAGTGGCTGTTTAGATTTAATTAAAATGAAATTTAAAATTCAGTTCCTCAGTGGTACCAGTCACATTTTAAGTGCTATTAAACTATAGTCTTACACAAATACAGACCATGATATGGAGCGCTTCCATTATCATAAAAAATGCTATTGGACAGTGCTGTTCAAATGCTTCAGAGCAATGGTTCTCAATTGGGGATGATTTTTCCATCCGGGGCCCATATGGCAACGTCTGGAGACTCTCAGACTCAGATTCTCACAACTTAGAAGGTACCACTGGCATCTAGTGAGCAGAGGCTAGGGATGCTGCTAAACATCATACAGTGCACAGGGCAGCCCCTACCACAAAGAATTATCCTGTCCAAAATATCAAAATACCAAAATATCAAAAGAACCAAGACTGAGAAGCCCTGCTTCAGAGACATAATCTCATTGAATACCCTCTGTAATCTTATACATACTATTATTATCCATATTTTATAAATGAGGAAACTGAGGCCTGGTGAGCTTAAGGAAATTGACCAAGGTCACACGTATTAAGTGACAGAGCTGGGACTTGAACCCAAAGCTGTCTCATTTTGAACCTCTTGGTCTGAAATGCTTATCTAAAGGGGACCATGTCAGGGCGCCTGGGTGGCGCAGTCGGTTAAGCATCTGGCTTCAGCCAGGTAACGATCTCGCGGTCCGTGAGTTCGAGCCCCGCGTCAGGCTCTGGGCTGATGGCTCGGAGCCTGGAGCCTGTTTCCGATTCTGTGTCTCCCTCTCTCTCTGCCCCTCCCCCATTCATGCTCTGTCTCTCTCTGTCCCAAAAATAAATAAAAACGTTGAAAAAAAATAAATAAATAAAGGGGACCATGTCAGAGCCACAGCCCCTCTGGTAGAATTCTTCCTGCCTAGTGCCTTACAAGATCTCAGCTTCTCTCGTGTCCTCTCTGTGCTGCTCCCTGGAAGTATTAATTCCAGCCTGTAAAGCAGAGAGACTGGCTGAGGCTTAGCTTCCCTATACCCTCACCTTTTGGGGCAGTGATGGTCATACCATGGAACACCTACCCTAAGGGCAACATGTAAAAATATCAGGAGTGGGGATAGATGTAATTGAAAAAAGCATGTCTAAGATTACTAGTATTTTACATTTGGAAAAATGTAGGAAAGACTCATTTTATTTGTAATATAAACCACAGGAGCTAATGCTGAACAAAAAGCTGATAATTTATGTTTTTTAAAGAAAGTTGAGAAATAGGCACAGAGATCTTGGAATGTCTCTGCCTCCCTAACTGCATTACTCCTTCCAGGTGCCCCTATCCAGAATGATCTCAACCAAGGTGGCCTAGGGGGCCAGAGCACTAATTCCAAGGGACAGGCCACCTGGTCCCTGGAAGAGGAGAAGAGCAGGCTGCTGGCTGAGGCAGCAGTCGAGCTGCGGGAGGAGAACACGAGGCAGGAGAGGATCCTGGCCCTCGCCAAGCGCCTGGCCATGCTGCGGGGACAGGACCCCGATAAAGGTAGAGGCTGGGAAACAGCAGCTCACTTCTGTCCATTGGGAAGGCCCTCCACTCCCAACCCCAGGCCAAGCTCTACAAAACGGCTGTATTCCCTGGCACACTGAATCAGGTGCTGGGATTGCTATGTCCAGAGGTCTATTGAGCTCTGCCCAGAGCCATGAGGAAGGTACTGGGGCAAAGGAATAGATACGGAATAAGTAGCAGCCGTCAGGGGCCCAGGGACCCTCAGTCCCTTCAGGGACTGCAAATCCTTCTGTTCTTGTCCCCCAGGGTGGGGGAGGGAGGGGCAGGATCTGATGTGATTGTTGACAACAGAGGCTGCCTAGCTGTGGAAGAAGTGCCCGTGGAAAGCAAACCAGCTCCTGTGGGCAAAATTACAGCTACTCAAGAGAACTCTCTCAACCTCATTCCTCCTCCTCTGCTCCTGTCATTCCCTTTCAAGTGACCCTCCAGGACTATCACCTCCCAGACAGTGATGATGATGAGGATGAGGAGACAGCCATCCAGAGAGTCCTGCAGCAGGTGGGCCCTGCCTTACCCACCTGACCACCACCTGTCCTGTCTCTACCTCACTGCCCCACCACCCACTTGGCCCAGTTCACCCTGCCTCTACTCTCTCACTGAATGGTCACTCTGCAGCTCCTGTTCTACCTGGCATGCCACTGTCCCTATGACCCAGACCTGCCTACTGGCCCCTTGAGATGGGGTATCAGCAGCCATAGGCAATAGATCAAGGGAGATGGGTTGAGAAGCTAAGGCCACAGAACACAGAAATACTCGTGGGGCAGGGGGGGAGAGTCTAGGCCTGGAACAGGAAGCTGAACCTCTTCGCCCTGTCCACAGCTCACTGAAGAAGCTGCCTTGGATGAGGCAAGTGGCTTGAACATCCCCGTGGAGCCAGCTCTCAGAGCCCGGGCCCAGTCCTGTAGGGCAGAGTCCCAGGTGAGAAAAACCCCAGGCCACTGCCACGCCTTCCTCCCTCCCTGGCCGACTGCTCCTGCGGCAGTGTTCCTACACACCTCCCTTCCCCCACTCCTCTCTGCTCCTAGAAGGCGCAGGCCAAGGCCCCCAGGCAGGAGGCAGAGGAAGAGGAGCTCCCCTGGTGCTGCATCTGCAATGAGGATGCCACCCTGCGCTGCGCCGGCTGCGATGGAGACCTCTACTGTTCCCGCTGCTTCCGGTGAGTGCAGATAGAATGTTCTGTGTGGCTGGGAGAAATTGCGGGTCCTCTCTGATCCCTGACTTGTCTCTCTTTGTTCCACAGGGAAGGCCACGATGCCTTTGAACTTAAAGAGCACCAGACGTCTGCCTACTGCCCCCGGCACATAGGCCGAGAACACTGAGGAAACCAGGGAGGCAATCCCATGGGCAGTCGTGCAGGCTGGTGCACAAGTCAGGCTAGATTGCTCATGGACATGCCCCTTCCTGAGCCTCAGTGTCCCTGGAAGGAGGAAAGATTCTCCATTCAGGATGATAACTGGGGGAGCCAGAGGAAAGGCAGAAGTCAGAGCCCTCCAACAGCCAAGCGTGGACTGGGAGTAAGACACGGTGGGGAAAAGACAAGACTGAACCTAAGGGTGATGAGCCTTGGAACTTGCTCAAGGGCCCAGGGCCCTCCCCTGGCACTTAATGGATCTAATAAAGAATGCTGATTCCTTGAGCCCAGCATGTCTTACCTCTAGAACTCTGTGGGCTCTGAGCCTGGGCCCCTGGAGAGGTGGCAAGAGCAAGACCTCCACTAGAAGTCCAGTCCTGTGGAGTGAGGAAAAAGTCGGGCTATCCTACAGGCTTCTCCAAGGAGGAACAGTCCCATCCACCCTGGAACCTCATATGCAGTAGGCATGGATATTCACTCAACTGATCTGAACTATGTGTCCTACTCTGGGCAACCCATTGTAGCCCGCAGGCCCCACCATCTTAGATTCCTCAGCCTCCCTAGCACTCAGACAGTGCTTGCACAAACAGTGGATGCATGCCCTGCTTCTTGTCTTACTCCCAAAGGATGCCATCTCTCCAGGCTCCTGTCCCAACCTGCCTGCCATTCAGACCTAGTGTCTGTTTCCAGCCACACCTTCCTGAGCTGACTCCTGGAGTCTCCACCTGTACCCTTTACACGCCTCTACTTAGCTCCTGCCTTTTCTCTTTCTGCTGCTGGCCGGAGCCAGCTCATGTTCTCAGCCTGATGCCTCCTGAATCATTTAGGGAGAGAGGAGGGTTAGCTATCCCTGATTTCTGCAGACCCAACTAGGTTTTCCTTATTACCTCCCCTATGGGATTCAGAACTAGTCTTTGCCACTTGGGCTCCTGTTGGTGATGCAGGATGCTGTGTGTCCTAGTCTGGTGCCCTCTGCTTGGCCTCTGGGCCTTGCTATATCATGAGCTCTAAAGTAGAACTGTGACCTTCACCTTTGAATTCTCAAGGCCTATCTAGATGGATGGATGGATAGATGGATGGGTGAATGAAATATGGATCTGGTGACTCAGGATTTTAGCCTTCTGGTATATCACTTCACCCTCCCCTCCCCTATCCCTCAGGACAGATATGCTCCACACTCCATTCAGCTGGGGCTCCCAAAGGTTTTATCCACTTGGCTGCCAAGGAAAGTACCGGGCAACAGCCATGAATGGCTTCCAGAAAGCCTAGCTAACAGGAACCAGCTGTGGCTACACATACACAAGAGGTATCCAAATGTCCCTTCTCATCTTCCACATTCCTTGTCTTTGTCCCAGGGGACCATTTCCCTCTCAGCCCAGGATTCTGAGGTTCAGGGCAGGCCTGGCAGTGCTAAGGCTGCTGAAGGTAGTCTCCCAAGGCTTATTTCTGAGGCCGACTGAGTCTCCGGAGTTTCTTGAGTTGACTGAGCAGCTCAGAGATAAAAGACTGAAAGAGAAACAGGGATGAGATCAAGGAAAGGGGTCACGCTCACCCACCACAATGCCCTTCTTAATCTCCCCTGACCCCATGTCTCCAGAGCTGGGGAAGGTGAGAAGGACCTAGCGCTAAGCCTTCCTCTCAAATACTCCTCTTCATTAGCTGCCTCCCCTCTAGGTCCCGCTTACCCCCAGAGCAGCAGAGCATCCCTTACCTCTGTGGGGCGGGGGCAGTTTTGGAGAAGAGCCTGGTGGAAAAGAACAAAGAGTGAGTCCCTGAGCCACAGAACTTTCCCACAAGCCTCCACTCAGCTTCCCAGGAATCTTCTCCTCTGAACTCGTTCTCCCCATGCCACTCAAGGAGGCAAAACCTGAGTTCCTGGGCTCCTCCCTCTCTAAGCTCAGCTTCCATTCCCCAACCCCAGGCCCACATTCTACCTCCAAGTGAGTCTTCTGTTCCTCTGTGGATAGTTCCATGAGAGCTTCCAGGTCAATCTCAGGCTCAGGAGGAGTTGGTTGACCCTGTTTGGGAATCACATGGGGCTCAGAGGGGCCTGGCTAGCTGGTGCTGGAGTGAATGTTATGTCGGGCTCACCCATCTCCTACCCTACTTCCATGTTCAGTCTGTCTCCTCACCTTACTCAGACCACACGTTCATTCTGCCATTCAACACTTACTGAATACCTACTATCTTCTATCTGAAACAGGGCTAGGGTTCTTTAAAAAGAGTGCCTGTTCGGGACACCTGGGTAGCTCAGTCGGTTGAGCATCCAACTTCGGCTCAGGTCATGATCTCACGGCTCATGAGTTTGAGCCCCACATCGGGTTCTGTGCCGACAGCTCAGAGCCTAGAGCCTGCTTCAGATTCTGTCTCCCCCCATCTCCCTCTGCCCCTACCGTGCTCACGTGCTGTCTTTCTCAAATATAAATATTTTTAAAAATTTTAAAAAAATAAAAAGAGTGCCTGTTTAATTTCAAAGGTGTATGCATGTTGTTGGTAAGGATCTAAAATGGTACAGCTGCTTTGGAAAACAGTTTTGCAGTTCTTTTTTATTTGTTTGTTTGTTTGTTTGTTTGTTTTGAGAGAAAGAGGCAGGGGCAGAGGGAGAGGAGCTAGGAAATCTTTTTTTTTTTTTAATTAAAAAAATTATTTTTTTAATTTTTGAAAGAGAGACAGAGCATGGGCTGGGAAGGGTCAGAGAGAGAGGGAGACACAGAATCCGAAGCAAGCTCCAGCCTCCAAGCTGTCAGCACAGAGCCCGACATAGGGCTCGAACCCATGGACCGCAAAATCATAACCTGAGCTGAAGTCGGATGCTCAACCAACTGAGCCACCCAGGCGCCCCAAGGAGCTAGAAAATCAAGCAGGGTTCACACCCACAACTGTGAGATCATGACCTGAGTCGAAATCAAGAGTCGGATATTCAACCAACTGAGCCACCCAGGCTCCCCGGCAGTTCTTTAAAATGTTAAATATAGAGTTGTCACCCTACCCAGCAATCCTACTCCTAGGTCTACTCCCAAGAGAAATGAAAACATGTCGACACAAAAGTTTGCATGAACGTTCATAGCAGTATTATTCATAATAGCCAAAAGGTAAAATAATACATATCTCCATCAACTGATGAATGGATAAATAAAATATAATGTAGCTATACAATATTGCTCAACAATAAAAGGAACACAGCATTGATTCAGACTACAACATGGATGAACCTTGAAAACATTATGCTAGTGAAAGAAACCAGTTACAAAAGGCCACATATTATGATTCAACTTGTATGAAATGTCCAGAATAGATAAATCCATAGAGACACAAAGTAGATTAGTGGTTGCCTAGGGCTGGGAGTGGTGGTGGTAAGGAATGAGGTGTGACTGCTAATTGGCACAGGGTTTCTATCTGGGGTAATCAAATGTCCTAAAATTAAGCTGTGGTTGTATAACCCCAAAGATACTTAAAACTATTGGAAGTATACACTGCAAGTGAGTGATTGTATGGTATGTGAATCATATCTTAATAAAGCTGTCTTTAAAAGTTATCACAGTCAGGGGCACCTGGGTGGCTCAGTCGGTTGAGTGTGTGACACTTGATTTCAGCTCAGGTCATGGTCTCATGGTTCATGGGTTCGAGCCCTACTTGGCATTCTCTCTCCCTCTTTCTCTCTGCCCCTCCCCTGCTGACACATGCATGTGTGCTCTCTCTCTCAAAATAAATAAACTTAAAAAAACAAAAGTTATTATAGTCAGTGAAATAATTTAAACAATACAGAGTTTATAAAATTGAAAATGAAAGAAGCTCAAGGGAATGAGAAGACAAGCTACAGACTGGGAGAAAATATTTGCAAAGGATGTATCTGATAAAGGACTATTGTCCAAAATAGACAAAGAACTCTTGAAACTCAAAAGTAAGAAAGGAACAACCCAACTGAAAAATCGGAAAAGATATGAACAGATACCTCACCAAAGAATATATGCAAATGGCAAATAGGATATGAGATGTTCAACATAATATGTGAGTAGGAAATTGCAAATTAAGACAACAGTGAGATACACTACGTACCTATCAAATTGGCAAAAAATCCAAAATGCTGACAATACAATGCTGATGAGGATGTGGAACAAGGGGAACCTTCATTCATTGCTGGTAAGAAGGCTAAATAGTACAGCCACTTGGGAAGACATTTTGGCCGTTTCTTACAAAACTAAACACACTTTTACCATATGATCCAGTGATCAAGCTCCTTAGTATTTACCCAAGTGAGCTGGAAACGTATCCATATAAAAACCTGCATAAAGATGTTTATAGCAACTTTATTCATAACTGCCAAAATTTGAAAGCAACCAGTACATCCTTCAATAGGTAAATGGATAAATCAACAGCACACCCAGCCAATGGAATTATTATTCAGCACTAAAAGAAATGAGCTTCAAGCCATGAAAAGACTAAATGAACTGCAAACACATGGAATAAGTGAAAGAAGCCAATCTGAATTTGGCCAAACATATCGTATGATTCCAACTATACAACATTCTGGGAAATGCAAAACTATGGAGACAGTAAAAAGATCAGTTGGAATAATGGGGAAAGTGGGATATATAGGTGGAGCACAGAAGACTTTTAGGACAGAGAAAATACTCTGTATGATACTATAATAGTGGGTACATGTCATTACACATTTGTCCAAACCCTTAGAATGTACAATACCAAGAATGAACCCTAATACAAGCTATGGACTTTGGGTCATTATAATGTGTCAATGTAGGCTCATCAACCATAACATTGCACTGCTCTAGTTGGGGAATGATGATGGGGGAGGCTATGCATGAGTGGGGACAGGGGGAACATGAGAACTCTCTGCTCAGTCTTCCTGTGAACCTAAAACTGCTCTAAAAATTAAGTCTAGGGGCACCTGGGTGGTTCAGTCAATTAAGCGTCTTGACTTCAGCTCAGGTCATGATCCCGCAGTTCATGAGTTCTAGCCCTGCATTGGGCTCTGTGCTGACAGCTCAGAGCCTGGAGCCTGCTTCAGATTCTATGTTTCCCTCTCTCCCCCTTCATACTCTGTCTCTCTCAAAAATAAATAAACATATTTATTTTATAAGTCTATTTTAATAAGTCTATTAAAAAAAAAAAGATGTGGGGCGCCTGGATGGCTCAGTTGGTTAGGTGTCTGAGTTCAGCTAAGGTCATGATCTTACGGCTTGTGAGTTAGAGCACCGTGTCAGGCTCTGTGATGACAGCTCAGACAGAGCCTGGATCCTACTTTGGATTCAGTTTCTCCATCTCTCTCTGCCCCTTCCCTGCTCATGGTCTGTCTCTGTCCCTCAAAAATAAATAAATATTAAAGAGAGAGAGAGAGAGAGATGTGAACTCAATGGCCAAGGTTTAATAAACTTGTGATTTTTTACTGCTTTATCAAGGACTTTTTTTTTAAGATGAAATTTATTGTCAAATTGGTTTCCATACAACACCCAGTGCTCATCCCAACAGGACTTTCTTAAGTGAAAGTGGCATGGTGATAAAGAACATGACTCCTAGCACAGGTTGGTGCCACTTTTTTTTTAAAGTCTGTTTGTTTGTTTGTTTATTACTCTCTACACCCAACATGGGGCTCGAATTCATGACCCCAAGATCAAGAGTTGCATGCTCCACCAACTGAGCCATCCAGGTGCCCGTGGTGCCACTTTCTTGATTCACACTGAGAGTCACCATTGTTTTTGCATTATCAGTACAAACGTCAACATAGTGAAAAAGGCAAATGACATCTCAATATTACTATGAACATAACCAGGAACCCTCTGAAAGGGTCTTGGAAACCCCCAGGGTCACCAGAATACACTTCAACTGCTGCCTCATTCATTTTTTTTTTACTGGGTTCAGTTTTTTCTTACTGATTTAAGAAGTCTTTTTTTTTTTTTTAAACTAGATTAGCCCTGACGTTCATTCTACATATGACGGAAATTTGTGTGTGAGGAAGGGGTTGGGGAAATATATGTGTTTACATATAGCTAAATGTTTATATATAGCTAAATGTAACTAATCGTCTTTTCCAGTTTGGGGGTTTAATTTTTTTTAAATTTTATTTTAGAGAGAATGCAAGCAGGGAAGAGGGGCAGAGCGAGAGAGAGAATCTCAAGCAGGCTCCACACTTAGCATGGAGTCCAAGGTGGAGCTTGATCCCACGACCCTGGGATCATGACCTTACCTGAAGTCAAGAGTGGGACACTTAACCAACTGAGCCACCCAGGCACCCCTTCAGTTTGGGTTTTGCCATTTCTTCTCCTTCTCCTTCTTCTAATGCTTAGCAAGTTCTTCTCATATGGATTTGAATAAATATTTGATATTCACCTTTACATTTTCTAGAGGTTTGATAATTTCACCTTTTCCTTTTGATTATTTAATCCTTTTTGACGTTGTTTATTTATTGATTTTTGAGAAAGAGAGAGACAGAGACAGAGAGAGACAGAAAGAGAGCAATCAGGGAAGAGACAGAGAGAGGAGAAGAGAGACAGAATTCCAAGCAGGCTCCATGCTGTTAGTGCAGAGCCTGATGCAGGGCTCAAGCCCACAAGCTGTGAGATCATGATGTAAGCCAAAAATGAGAGTTGAACACTCAACCGATTGAGCCACCCAGGCGCCTCTGATTATTTAATACTTAAAGATCTATTTACTCAACAAATACATGTTCAGTGACTACTGTTATTAACCTGGCACTATGAACTTGGGAGCTTCAGTGAACAAAACAAAAATCTTGTCCTCAAAGAGCCCACATATTAGAGGCAGTCAAGAAGACAAATAGATACATATATAATAAGTACTTAAGCTGTATAATTTGTTTAGCATTATTTGCGGGACTTTTTTTTTATTAAAAAAATTTTTTTAATGTTTATTTTTTATTTTTTTGAGAGAGACAGAGACAGAATGCGAATGGGTTAGGGGCAGAGAGAGAGGGAGACACAGAATCTGAAGCAGGCTCCAGGCTGTCAGCACAGGGCCCGACGCGGGGCTTGAACTCACGAGC